GTAAGTCGCCGCAGTTCAATCACAGTGGTAAGAATTTTTTTATTACAAATTCAATTATTACAGCTTGTCACTTAATACATAGTTGGCTCGATTTAACGTATTTAACATATTAGGCTTCCACTTTAAGGTTTATTTAAAATGAATATCGGAGTTAAAATGTTAGTAGATACGATAAAATAATACGCAAATCCTGCCGTATTTGCAGATCGACAACTCAATCGATTGACAATCTGTGACTGATGGTCCTGTTGAGTCAGCTAGAGGCCTCAGGGAGAGATTTATCTCGTCCTTTCACTATTGGCGAGCAACGTTTGCCAGGAACAAATCCCCTCGTGACAAAACCCGAACTAATCCAAGAGTATTCTCGACCGGGTTAATTGCCCTCGGCCAAAGATTTATGATAAATTAAACTAAACCCCTAACTTTGCTTCTGGCTTTTATTCTATAATCAGTAGATCAGATTTTTTGAGGAATTTTTGAATTCAGTTTTTTTTTCTGGCCTTGTACTAGTAGCCACTTTCGTTACTTGGTGCTGGCAGACGCCGGGGGGCGACCCCCGCCGAGACGGCACGGCCCCCGAGGCCACCCAGGTAGGACATCCGGGCTCCCCGATTCCGCAGTCCGGGGTAAAACACGCCCAGAGAGTCCCGGGACGTCCCCCCACCGGCCCCCTGGCCGCACTGTCCCCGCAGGGCTCACCCCCGGCCACCCCCAACATCAAGCATATTTAATTACTTATATATCTATTTCATTTTGTGATATGAATTTGTAGATGGAGTCGAGCACTTCAATGCATTTCGTGTTGGCTAATATTAGATTTACTGAACTAGGGAGAGGGATTTTGTATTTCTTGAGAACCTCAAAAATATGTTCTCTTCCGGAAGATTTCAACGGGCATGCTAGTAGGATGTGGTTTGAATCCGCCGTTGAATTATCGTCGCACAGGCATTTGTTGGTTGGTAGAATCCTTATTTTATGAAGATGTGCTGGGAGTCTATTGTGATTGAATCTCAATCTACATATCGTAGTGAAGAATTTTCTACTTCTTTTCACATTTGAGAACCACGATTTGGTCTGTAAGGATGGTTGGTACATGGAAAACCATAGGCCTTTATTTTGGGATGATAGCCCGTATTCGCTTTGCCATTTCTTGCGCAATAAGGATCTGGTATGCGATATAATGTCCAAGGGTGCAATTTCTTTTATGGGGATTCCGGCCAGCGCTGCCTCTTTCGCCAGTATATCCACCCGATTGTTATCTTTGTTCCTACTGTGACCTTTAACCCATAGCAAGTGGATAGCTATGTGACTTGCCGAAGATAGCATAATGCTTTTGATCTCTATGATAATGGGATCTTCGGCGGTATCCGTTTTCATTAAAGCCGTCAGAACACTAAGGCTATCCGAGAAAATTACCGCGTTTGATAGTTTTAACTTTACAATGTAGTTTATAGCTTCCCTTATCGCTAGAGCTTCGGCGGCATTTATCGTACAAAATGATGGGAGTTTAAACTGGATGGAGTGTTCATTTGTTATGTCTAGAACCGCTGCAGCAGGAATTCAGCATTTCCTGGAAGAGATAACAATCAAAATTGAAATATGTTTAACTTGGCAAAGCTCATAAAACTCGTTTGGTTGTGTATATATTTTTTTAGTGGGCAAGAATGGAAGGAGTCTACGTGACACCACGTAGGTTTCTAACCATAGGTTTCTGATGGCCATAGATTTTAGATTATTCAAAAAGGGGGGATTGAGTAGTATACAGATAAGCCGTGGGTCCCAGGAAATTTAAATTAGATGTCTTTCACTAGGTTGGTGTAGGTTTTAAACACAATAATTAATTAAATATGGCCTAAATCTGACCAGTTGTGAGGCGAAGACTCGCCGTCAAGAACTTTTTCAATTTAGAGTTTGAAATTTCTCATCTATTGTGAAAACCAACCTATAAAATAGAAAATGAATAAAATATACAACAAATGATATGTGAACCCGTATCATTGCTTTGCCATTAGCATTATCATTGCACTGTAGAGAGAGGAGAGAGAGAACTGTTTGAAGAAAGTGCGTGCGAAATAAATCAAAGAAGACTTAAAATACTAACATGATATATATAGGTTATTTGCAAGTCACATAGTATAATCCAATTACCATTATGAACTGTTTTTTTTTTATGAAAAAGAATTGTCATAGCATTCTGATCGATTATAAATAAATACTATCTATTACTGCATTTTTTAACAATAAATTAATTTTTAATAGTCTTTTAAACTATAGAAATAATTATTATCAGGTAGGATAAGTCGGTTCAGAGTATTATTTGTTTACAAAAAAAATATTTAAATAAAAAACGAGACGGATTTTTGTTACTTGTCGAACGAGATTATTCCTTCTTTATAAGACCTACTTGGAAATTTGATTTCTCAGAATTCAAGCTGTGTAATATGCAAGAAAAGATTTGATATCTCGTTTCCTTAGAATCAATACTCGGTAGACTTTTTTTCTTGAAAATGTTCTCTGAGTGAAGGCGTAAAACTATTAGAGGGGTTAAATTTATTCAGTGTTCTACGTCTTGAGGGGGTTTTGCTCAAGACATAAGTACAATTTGTGGGCGACGGCCCAAGGTGAAAACGCCCTGGAAATTCACCGAGGGTTACGTGAGTATGTGAGGGGTTGGTGAGGCGGGGGTGGAAGTGAAGATATGCAATAGCTACCGACCAGGGTACAGTCGGTGCCTCGAGGGGTGGCCATCTCATCCTAGTTGTGTCAGGAGAATTCGACCCCCGACTGTACCAAAACCTGAAGCAGGGCGAATGTGAACTGAATTAAAATGGGGTGAAACACCCCGAAGAGTTTTAACAGAAGACCGTTTTTAACACATGAACACCCCCAGGTTACATTGCTTCTATTGTTAGAAATAAAAATGTCTTTAACGCAATAACTCTTCAAGGGCACCTGGCTTATTTAAGAATAGTTACGCTTTCCATGATCGATTTACGAGATAATGTTTTAAATTTGTTTTAATATTTAATTATTATTATTAATTATTCATCTTTCAAAATTCTATGATAAAAATTATAGTCTGGAATAGCCGCACAGGACAAAATTTGTTATCACTCTTGCAGTTGACTAAAGTTTAAAATAATTTATTGAACTATTTGCAATCCAGAGAGGAAATTGTTCCACTTTTTCTATTCTTGCCAGTTGTTTTTATATGTGAACTGCAGGGATAGTTACATAGAAAAATAGTTACATTTTTATTTTAAAATAATCTTACAAATAGATGCTGATGTTTACACCTTTGCAAGAAAAAATATACGCACAGATCTTTTAAAATAAACAAAATCTTTCTATAAAAATTAAACAATTTTTTTACATTATTTCGGATTTGTGTTAAAATATGTCTACTTTATTAAACGACTAATTCAGACAAATTTTCTTCTATGCTATCATAGGAAGTAGTGTTGTAGGAATAGATTTTTTCACCATTTTATTAGTAACGTTATAAAGACAGCACCTGTCTCGTGCAAAGCAAGATTTGTAAATTTTATTGTATTTGTATATCTGTGGTCTATATGTCCAGCAACAAAATTATTTATCCAATAAAACAATAAATAAAAACAAATATTAGCTATAAGCAACAGTGAATGGTCACACGAAATAGTGCTAACTCAAACTTGCACGGATACTCTATACAAAAAGTGCAGTATAAAAATAATTTAGAAAAACCTACAAGCATTTTTTGCCAAAAATGTAACCGGTCCCATTTGATTCCGAGGTATAGAAGTGATAAACAGTATATTCACACATGTGTTATGTAAATAGAAACTGAATGGTTGTTTGCTCCTTCTAGGGAGCGGGTAGGCATCTGACATGGGAATGTTCTCTGAGCTGGATTTAAGCCAAAAGAATGAATGTCGACATTTTTCTTAAATTGCACATTAAGGGGGTAGTGACCGTTTTATCGGTCCAAACAATGATCGTAATTTTTTTGAAATTAAAAAACTTTATCTATCCAAATTTAAACTAGTGAGAATAATAGAAGTGCTTTAGATAATTTGGTAAATGTTCTGAATACAGTGTGTATCTGGTGAATTTGTAACACGCCATCACTCACGCTGCATAAACATTTTTGTATTTTATTTTATGGAAACTAAGAGGATCTCCTCAGGAAAAAGGTGTATACAAGAAAAGAAAAAAGAAAAATCAAATAAACGCTAATCCTTCTAATTTGAAAAATTACAGAAAAAATATATACAGAAATTATCAAACAATAAAAAAATAAAATAAGATTTTAATCACAATTTACACTCAGCTGAGATACAAAGTATTAATTTTTAAATTTAGGAGAGACAAGAAAGTGACTGCCTGAGTTCACGTGACCCAAAAGAGAAGAGAGAAAAATTTTTTTTTCCTGCCGAGAGGTTTCGATGAACCCTGTCGATCTTCTTATGGCCCCCTTTTTCAGGCTAGCGCACCTTTCAAAAAACTCTCCAATACATGTTATAATTTACATGCTGTATAAAAAAGATACAACCCAACTAACAAATCGTCTATGAAATCTCCTACTGCAAGAGAAATTTGTGTGTAATATTTTTATGACGTAAATTATGCAGCAACTGGATACATTTATTTTTGGAACTCGACAAGAAAATCGCTTCTCCTTAAAAAGGTATATTTATTCCCATTTTGTTGAGCAATACGTGCCGAACTATTATAGCGATCAATTATTGTAAAAACACCCAGAAGAGGAGAAATAATTTGTGTATAGAAGAAAAAGGTTTAAGTTCTATTTAAATTTTGCGTTGTTTCGAACAATTAAATATTTAAAAAAATCCGAACTACAAATTAGTAATGTAAGGTATGTAAGGATAATATAACAATACAAGATGTAATAACCAAATAGGTTTTAAGAAAAATGACAACTCTTTGCCCTTTGTTTGAACAACACAATGAAAAGGAATTGCTGAAATAACGTAAAATTTTAGTTTCCTGCTTAAGTAGACAACCAGGCACTCTTGAAAAAGAAA